GAAACTAGGATGTTCCACTAGAATGTTATTTTACACAGTATGATTGAAACTAGGATGTTCCACTAGAATGTTATTTTACACAGTATGATTGAAACTAGGATGTTCTACTTGAATGTTATTCTACACAGTATGATTGAAACAAGGATGTTCCACTAGAATGTTATTTTACATAGTATGATTGAAACTAGGATGTTCCACTAGAATGTTATTTTACACAGTATGATTGAAACAAGGATGTTCCACTAGAATGTTATTTTACACAGTATGATTGAAACTAGGATGTTCTACTTGAATGTTATTCTACACAGTATGATTGAAACAAGGATGTTCCACTAAAATGTTATTCTACACAGTATGATTGAAACTAGGATGTTCCACTTCAATGTTACATCACATATCATGATAGAAGCAAAATAATAATGCTTCTCTAAAACCCTGCGTACAAACAATCATCGTTACACTTTTGGTTAGAAATGAAAGCTTGTATTTTACGGAATATTCCTAAATGAACCACGTGAGCAACGAAAAACGTACCATAAATTCTTCCAGTTGTCCGAAATGAAAATAAAGTTGAGCACATTTCTAGTTTCAAACCGGTTTCAGATCACGCTTTAAAATAAACAAAGCTTTATAGTCTCAAAGGAATCTGTAAGTGTTATGCACTAAATTTTATGACAATTTTAAGATAATTGTTTAGAAACTTTCATTTTGGTTATTTTTTACAATATCTTGGTAGGTGATGCAAGTATGTTTAAAACTATACATTTATTGTATTTTGTTAATTATTAAAGTTTAACTGAACTTTCATGTTGTAGGAATTTCTATAAGCATTTTTCTCTACCTCTCCATTTATCTCTACTCTTACGTATTTGTGTATCTTTAAATTACAATGATTATAATTCGAAACTTGAATAAATGTTAGACTCAGATCTCGTAGTTCTGTCAAACTCTTTAGCTTTCATACTTGTAAAAAAAATCACATCCCGTGCTTGTAAGTAAGAATATTAAAGTTAAACACGAACTTGCAATACGACTTACTCCTCCAGCTCTTGTTTTTAGGTTCTGAATATAATCGTTTATATAAAATAAATTACTAATGCTACTGGTTTAGGGAACTGTAGAAACATCATTACAGTTGATTAAATTCTCAATTTTTCTGTTGCACGAAAAATATACTTATAAGTGACCGTCAACACCTAGACCGTCCTACTATATAAGATACATTGTTATTTATCGTCAACACCTCAACCATCCTACCACACAAGAAACATCGTTATAGTTGACCGTCAATTCCTGAACCATCCTACCATACAAAAAACATCGTTATAGTTAACCGTCAACACCTCAACCATCCTACCACACAAGAAACATCGTTATACTTAACCGTCAACACCTCAACCATCCTACCACACAAGAAACATCGTTATACTTAACCGTCAACACCTCAACCATCCTACTACACAGGAAACATCGTTACAGTTGACCGTCAATACGTCAACCATTCTACCACACAAGAAACATCATCATAGTTGACCGTCAACACCTCAACCATCCTACTACACAAGAAACATCGTTATAGTTGACCGTCAATTCCTCAACCATCCTACCATACAAAAAACATCGTTACGGTTGACCGAAAACATCTTAACGCTTCTACACTCAAGATAATTCGTAATAGTTGACCAACATCTTAACAGTCCCACCACACTAAAACTTCGTTCCATCTAACTGTCATAACCTTAATTGTCGAACCAAACATTATTAAAGCTAATTATCAGAAACTTAAACATACTATACACACAAGAAACATAATTATAGCTGTCAGGATCTTAAAGTTAAACAATTTACCACACTAGAAATTTTCATATAGCCGACAGTCCTTAACGTTCTACCACTCAAGAGCCATCATTACAACCCCAGACTATTCACACCCTACACAAATTTGGGTATACATATGCTCGTTCCACGTTTTTATTAAACATGATACTCTATGGAGGTAGCCTACCCCCTCTATCTCAGGACACCTTGAGTTTTTTCTATAACATTACAAATGTCACAATTACTAACGTTGAAATAATAACGAGAACACTGCTATTTACATTAATTTAATATCTATTATTTATGATGTATCTAGTGAAAGAACAGAAGATTACTTTAATATTACACTAGCCTCATTAAGGTTGTTTTTTTTGTGTGTTTTTTTTACATCTCCAACTACAACAGACACATTGAATAATGTGGCATTTTGTAACATTGTGTGTGTTATTAATTTGCTGGTGCATCTAACGTTACTCCTGTGATCAAGCAATGGTGAAACTTTTTTAATTAAAGCTGATGAAGCGCCACCTCTTTTTATACATTTCTATACCATTTCACACCCGAGCTTGACCGATAAACATCACCTCTTTCCCAAGAAATTTGAAACGCGCATGCGGCCGGCCCTCTTTGCCACCTGAGTGAATGGATCGAACAATACACTTCACGGTCAGTTTCAAACGTTCTAGGCTTAGCACTGGATATATCGCGACCTTAGTCGTTTTACCACACAAGAAATATCGCCATACGTATAAGCTCTGATCGTACTCTTACCAATAGTTGTTTTTACAGTTGACAACAGACGGCGAAACAAATTTGAATTTGGAAGAGAGGTGAGAGGTTACCAACGATTAGTGACACCTTACTCGCTACGTTGAAACAACGACTTTCCTCGAAAAATCATACACAACACATACTACCGAATCAAAATTTGGGGGTAAGTGCCTCCAGTGCCAGTCAAGTTCCTCCGCTTATGTAACAGATCGTTAAAAACGCAGAAACTTAAAACATTTGATCACACTATGAACAATCGCTGTTGATGACCTAAAAACGAGACTAGAAAAGCCATTGATTGCACTTACCTGCTACATTACGAACATCGCAGTAGACGACTGCCAGAATTATAAGAAAACACTGTAACATGGGTTGCGTGGAAACTCCGTCTCCTCGCCCTAACATCTTCCAGTGAAATTTGTTTAACTTAATTTTTTTAAAGGTGAAATCGTATCCCCTTGCATATTTGGAACTTATACAACGGACATGAAGTCGATGGGCATAATTACTTTAATACTACAACTCAAATACACTCTCCAGATTGTGAGCGTATTTCTACATCGTTCTTCGCTTTAGCGCCACTGTGCAGAGTGTTTTCAGTCTGGCAAGCGCACGTCTTATTCCCAGTGTTCTTCTCACGGCCACGGGCACTATACATGGAAGGGTGCGTGCTGAACAAGTAAAGCAGCTGACTGGTCCACCATTTGGTACTTAAATAACAAAGGCGGGGCTTTAGGCAGTCCGTTGGTCTTTGGGCTGGATGTGATCTAGGCGCCAACACGTCGCATAGAGATTGACCTGCACCTGATGTGGCTGAAGATAAGTTCCAGAAGCGAACGTTTAACCCAAGGGTTGACCATGGGACCTTGTCTAATGATATTAGATAAGGCGCGTCACTCTCTGGATCTGGCCTGTGTCTGTACTGTTCAAATTAGCTAGAAAGATGACCACGAAGACCCCTAGGTTTACATTAGGCTCTGTTTACAAGAGCTGACGCCAAAGTATTCCTCCCCCCACCTCCAACACGGGACAGTGTACACTAACAAAGTCTGATCAATTACCGTCCTGCTACTAAGCGACGACGTTTTGAACAGAAAAGAGAAAAGTGAAAATTTTTTTCTTGTTGGGATTTGAAATCACGATCTATATTTGAAAATGAACATTTTATAAACTTTTAGAAATGTTCAAACCACCTTGACATTATAGTTTAACTAAATCAGCCAGTATTATTGTTTTCAAACTAGAGTATAGCCAGTCAAACATGACGGGGCAAGTACTACCACCCCCACCCCACCCCTTAGTATACCGTAACCTCGCATTTCGTAGCTGACTGAAATAAATACATTTGCGGAATCAAGCTTGACCAAAAGAGGCAGAAAAGTACAATCGAGGCACTCAAACGTTTGTAAATTTCTTTGTGAGCCAATCAAAATTAGATAATGCATGAAATGAATTCGTGGCGTATTCATAGAATAATTACTGGTAAAAATCAGTTAGATTAACAACTTCTAATATATAGAAAATCCAACAATGGTTTTTATGTTATGTTATATATAATATTGTTGTTATTCTATGTACTAAAAGTATAAAATGAAATGTATAGACAACAAAACTGGAAAAATATTTGTTGATTTCTTAATTTAGAGTCACCGTTGATTAAAGAGGTTGGTGATATAACAGAAAATAGCTTAATTCAGAAATGATTTAAGTTTAAAATTGAATCGATATTTTTACTTTCATAATGAATTTTATGCAGTTGGCTCTAGGAGAAGTGATCCCACACTACGTCTTTACTTTAGGCTTATTATACCAACACTCACTACACATATAAGGTTTCACAGCACCTCTCCCCTCACGGCTCCATTGCACTCCCGTCACTAAAATCGTAATAGGCAGACAGTAATCGAACTATTATATCTGGATAAATACATTTTGACTTTTATGGCTCCTCCTGTTTCGAGAAATCAAGAGTGATGTGACGTGACACACACACACACACACACACATATATATATATATATATATAGGTTAGATTGGCCGACGTAAAAGTTTATCGCATTACTGATGCAAAGAGTCAGTAAAGTTTATGGTTGGTGTTTTTAGTTGGTTTTACATGTAGTATTGATCTTTATTATTCTAAATTATTCAACAGAAAAGCTGTTAAGAATGTTTAAATGATAGATTAGGCTCCATATGTATTTTTAGTCAGTAAAGTTTAATGGCTATTTTCCAGAAATTCCGATAAAAAGTAAGGCACAGCAATTTAAAAATCAAAACATCCTATATAACAAATGTTACAAGACAAAACCTCTAGAAATTAGACTGCGATGAATTGTCAGTTAGGCACTGAGTTTTTAATGACATTTTACACCATAATCTGATAATTATTTCACGAGACTTGGCCAGCTGAGATTAAGATGGGTCCTAAGTCCACATATGAAGTCGTTAATGCAAAATAATCCTGGTAAGTGCGATGTAATTTACAAAACAAAAGCTTTAAACATAACTATAGCCAATAAGATTTAAAGAAACTAACTGAAACAAAGCACTTTTTTGGGTTATCACTGTTAATCACATAAAAACATAAGTCACTTTTCTATTAAAATCCCCCCCCCCCAGTGGCACAGCGGTATGTCTGCGGACTTACAACGCTAGAATCTGGGTTTCGATACCCGTGGTGGGCAGAGCATAGATAGCCCATTGTGTAGCTTTGTGCTTAATTATAATCAAAAAACTATAATAATTAAAATTATTAATAATTCATGAAACATCAATATATTTACGACCAGGCGTGGCCGGATTATAGATTTGGAAGAAAAATAAAAAAAACGCCCGCCGCTATGAGGCCGTGTTTGCGTTATAAGCGTGACAGACAAATCCCACCATTCAATCAAACGGGAGTAGCGAAAGAGATGGCAGTGGGTACTAATTGACAGCTGTCCTCCCTCTAGCCTATCAGTTCAAAATTGCGGACGGCCAGCGCAGATAACCCTTGAGTAACTTTACACGAATGTCCAAAAACAAACAAATAAAATAAATATCCACGCCTTCAGAATAGAGCACACTCAATATTATGAACTGATAGATATTACGAAAATAACTAATAAGTAAACGCACATTAGCTCCCTATCTGGAGAATAATACCAATGTTCTGGCAACATTTGTTTACATACAAAAAAAAATGGCGCCAAAATAAGTAAACCTTAATATAATTTTCCCGAACACCGGCCAGTGATGAATGAAAACCGATTTTTTGAAATAGACTGTTTATCTTTAATTGCTTTGAGACTGTCTGTTTCTTTTTGTCTGTTTTTAATTATGCACAAAGCTACACAAGGGCTATCTGTGCTCTGCCCACCACGGATATCGAAACCCGGTTTCTAGCGTCGTAAGTCCGCAGACATACCGCTGTGTCACTGGGGGGCTCTTTGAGACTATAACTGGCGAAAAACGCCAGTAAAATATATTAACTAGTCTAAAGTGTCAGTTCCAAATATTTATGCCATATATACAGATAATCCATATACGATAGTACCATCTATATAAATAAACAACCTGTAATAATATAGTTTCTAAACATTTCACTACAGAAGTTAATACAGATTGTATCAAAATATTTTAAGTAAAATACATTATACTCGAGAATATAACTTGCATACTACAGGTGTTAAGTATAGTTTTTGTTTGTAATTAAGCACAAAGCTACACAGTGGGCTATCTGTGCTCTGCCCACCACGGGTATCGAAACCCGGATTGTAAGTCCGCAGACATACCGCTGTGCCACTGGGGGGGGGGGGCATGTGTTAAGTATAAAGCTAATGTTAAACGAAATATGTTATTAAAGTTAATGCGGGAGAGAAAAAATAAAAACAAAAACTTGTTTTGTTATTAAGCACAAAACTACTAGATGGGTTATCTGTGATCTGCTCACCAAGGGTATCGAAACTCGGATTCTAGCATTGTAAGTCAATTTTTAAGCAAATTTTACTTGAAGAAAGAAAAATATTTAGTACTAAAAAATAGCTTGATAAACCCAAGACCCAGATTCGTTTGTATGAAACTAACACACCTATTAAACCTAAGACCCAGATTAGTTTGTGTTAAACTAACACACCTATTAAACCTAAGACCCAGATTAGTTTGTATGAAACTAACACACCTATTAAACCTAAGACCCAGATTCGTTTGTATAAAACTAACACACCTATTAAACCTATGACCCAGATTAGTTTGTGTTAAGCTAACACACCTATTAAACCTAAGACCCAGATTAGTTTGTATGAAACTGACACACCTATTAAACCTAAGACCCAGATTAGTTTGTATGAAACTAACACACCTATTAAACCTAAGACCCAGATTAGTTTATATAAAACTGACACACCTATTAAACCTAAGGACCCAGATTAGTTTATATAAAACTGACACACCTATTAAACCTAAGACCAAGATTAGTTTATTTAAAACTGACACAGTTATTAAACCTAAGACCCAGATTAGTTTATATAAAACTGACACAGTTATTAAACCTAAGACCCAGATTAGTTTATATGAAACTAACACGCCTATTAAACCTAAGGCCCAGATTAGTTTGTATGAAACTAACACACCTATTAAACCTAAGACCCAGATTAGTTTCTATAAAACTAACACACCTATTAAACCTAAGACCCAGATTAGTTTATATAAAACTGACACAGTTATTAAACCTAAGACCCAGATTAGTTTATATGAAACTAACACGCCTATTAAACCTAAGACCCAGATTAGTTTGTATGAAATTAACACACTTATTAAACCTAAGACCCAGATTAGTTTATATGAAACTAACACGCCTATTAAACCTAAGACCCAGATTAGTTTGTATGAAACTCACACACCTCTTTTACCAGGTATTTTCAACCCGAAAGCACTTTATGCGACCCATGGGTGAAACAGCTAGTTCAGGGTCCAGGCATGGCTTCTTTAGTTTTAGAACTGCTGACCAAAGCGAGAAGAATAAGTCAGCAGCACTTGCCGCCTACACAGCTACTCTAAATGAAATAGCGCGATTGCGTTGTCAGTGTTCATATCTATTTCACAGAGCTTAAAAATATTAAACGTCATCAAGGAACATATTTATATATATATACATTCTAAGGAAATTCATTTGTTGCGCCCAAATCCAGGCCCGTATCTATTTTACTGACGTATAATTATTACAAAGTTCACACTTGTTTCACAGAACTGAGAAGTATGAAACATCGTTAATATGAATGAAGAACAAGAAAAGAGGGACGATTGAAGCTATACAAAGGTTTCTTTCTTCACTGAGATTTATTTATTTATCCAAATAAACTACTTTCTTTATAGTTTACTAAAATCAACAAATATACCGATATATACATTTATTCAGGTTCTTGTTAGATGCCAGAATGTGACGGAGTAGTAAGTATGATGTACTGCGAATCAGGAAGCCCAAGGTTCGAGCCTCGAAATTTAGGTGAAAACGATCTACACTTTCAAATGCTGTGCGTTATAACTGTGGCAGTCAGGTTTGCAAAATAGGTATGGACCATTATAACGTGTAACAGTGATTGTTGTGTTAATTATTGAGGCTTTCCTAATGTGTATTAATTTGAGTTCTATTAATATAAACCTTCTTGACATGTACTAAATCTGACATAAATATAATTGTTCTAGTTCTGTAAAATAGCTTTGAACTCTGATGACTTGTAACAGTTTTAGGTTGATAACCAATGAGTAACAAGATGCCTTGATACTCTTGATTGTGATGTGGGTAACTTAGAAGGTGGTGGTAAGTACGTTGTACACTACGTCATTGGAAAAAAATAGAATATTTTGAAAATAGTGTTTTATTCATCTTGGTTATGAATAAAATTAATCGAGTGAACTTTAGACCAAAATCTGACTTCCACAAGTGTAAATCAAACCTTAAACCAGAATCTGTCTTCACTTCTAACCCTTGTTACATTTGTAAATCGAACATTAAACCTAAAATCTGCTTTGTTATAAATGCAAAATGTATATTAACTTTTGGTGCAATATAAAAAAAAATAATAGAGATAAATGAAAAAAACTGAAACCAAGAATGGCAAATTTATTGTTAGCAAGTTTCA